ATATTTTTCTATGAATCACAGCACATGGATTACCATGCAGAGCCATGCAGATGATTTTCATAACACGGGAATGTGTATGTGAATATCCAAGAGAACCATGAATGACATTTTGTTTGAGATGCTTGATGTAGTTTTCATATATAGTAACCCAGAGTGTGTCTAGACAGGTCATGGATAAAGTGTGTGTGCGTGCACGCATCTGTGTGGAGGATATTTATGCTATTGCGGCTAATATTAGTATAATTCCTTTGTGTCTCAGGTTAACTGCACATTTTTTTTCACCTTGGCTGACCTTGCACTTGCACAAACATGCATGGATGCACGTAACTGACCCCCCCCCCCTTCCTCCACCCCCTCCAACAAAGGGACTTCACATTATGGACATTTCTGCTCTTATGATTGACTGCTTCGTATAAAGGACCTTGGAAAAACATCTGGGCAAGTGAAGAAATATGCCCCTGTGGCTGCTGTTGATGAAGGCGACAGATACTGTTGGAAAGAGAGAGGGAGAGAGAGAGAGAGAGAGAGAGAGAGAGAGAGAGAGAGAGAGAGAGAGAGCGCAGTGTATGTTAAGTTATCTCTGGAGCTACACAAAGGCTACTGCTGTCAAGGTTTCTGTGTGTGTGTGTGTGGTGTGTGTGTGTGTGTGTGTGTGTGTGTGTGTGTGTGTGTGCGTGTGTGTGTGTGTGTGTTTGTGTGTCCTTGCCAGCCACTTGACATCACACAGCCCTCTCATCGCCTGCTACTCGGATCAGTGGCAGAATGGATAAGGCAGCTTATATGTTTGGGGTCAGACCTCCTGTAACAGTTTAATGGGTGTTGAGGGTGTAAGGGTGGCCACTACAAGGAGGCAAGCAGCTTTATCTGGCAATTTGCACCTTGAGCTCTCATATGCATGACAAAGAATTTCAAAAATAATAATTTTGACAACCTGGAAGTACAATGTCAGTACATGTACATTTCTTATTTTTATTGAATATTACACGAAAAAGTTATTATGAACAAGAGTGATAATGTATCCTCTTAAATCTTCAGTGCAGAGATGTTGGTGAGCTGTTTTGACTTGATCTCATTTCATTATATGCTGCAGTATGAACCATAAATTCCATCATTTAGAGTTTTTGTGAGGTTTTTGTTAGAATAAATAAACCATGACTTTAATCGCCTCATATGGTGATTTAAAGTAAAAAAAATCAGCTTTATTGATATTTTCTGAAATACTGAAGCACAAAAACATGTTTTAATAAGCATGCATAATAGGCAGATATTCTCACACAACAGATGAAAACACAATTAGGAAATAACAGTAGTTCAGCTGTAAACAGCTCAAAATGAAATATAAGAACAAACTAGGCTCATGGTGGTATTTTAATCATATTTGATATATGAAACAAAGTAGGCATAGGCCTAGTTCATTCAGTGTCTATTTGAATGTGCATTAGATTTATCCCCAAACACAATACTGTATTCACACACATAGGCTAAATGTCCTCTCACCTTTATCCTGTTTAGTTTATTAATCATCCGTAATTAAATTAACATCTCCACACATGAATGTAGGCTCTTATTCCCTGTGGAGTAATGTAACCCCTTCATCTCGAGGCTCCTCGACTAAAAGACAAGCTTTGTTCGACAAAATAGTTTGTTTTATACTCTACAGTAAGCTATAGCCTACCTAACAAAGGCTCTTATATTAAATATATATCTTATATTAACTGGATTTTGATTTAGACAAAGGGTGAATCTTCATTAACACGTGCGAGTGAATGAAAGAATAAAGAAATGCAACAGCGTTTCTGGCTCTGAAAAAGGGAGGAGACAGAGAGAAAAGAAAACCTGCTCTCGACCAGGTTAGATTCAGAGCTAAAGTTACCTCCCTCTCTGGAACGGGCTGGAGTTACCCCTCTTTCCCGGCTTTGAGTGACCTCCCTTTCTGAAACGGAAAACCCAGATTTTCCCTTATTTCAGGGTTAACTGACTCAGAGTTTGCACAAAACCTTCTTTCAGAAATGGGCCAATGCTCACTAAAACAGGCCCCAGAACCCTACAAAACAAAAACAGAAATTTAAGGCTAGGTCAAGTCATTCTCATGATAACCATTTCTATTTTAAACACTTTTTTCTACTTATTGAGTTATTATCTATTCGACTTAAATGTTATCCTAAGTACTTAAGTATAAATCCTTATTTCCTTCAGGAAGTAAATCTAATTTGACTTATTTGTTGTGCTAATATTATTGTATTTGTCTTTCGGATGTTCGAACATCTGAAAGACAAATAAATCGTTATTACCTGTAAAAAAGTCGGTATTGTTATTACCAGGAGAAATTCATTCACCAAGCTGAACTATTACCTAACTGTGTTTTCATCTGTGTTTTTTTTTACCCTCTTTATTGAACCCTTTTGAACTGAACTGACTTAATAAATCTAATAAACCTGTATCAAGTTTCCTTGCTGGATTCATGCATCCTGACCCAATGTCCATGGTGATAGTTTCTCATAAACCTTTAACCCTACTTAACATACAGACACCCCAAAAAACATGTATCCCAGGCATGCCTACATACTGACATCCATACACAGAAACCAATAGATTCACTGGCAGCCTACACCTAAACTGACAGCAAAGGTTCTGATGAAGGTCATTCATAATGATTAAAGAGGTATCTCTGCAATGATTTTCAAATGACCCTGGGGACGCCTAGACCACTGACAACTCCTCAATAGCAAATTACTTGAATGTGCCCTGGGACACCTGACTTCAGCCTGACACAGTCAGACAAGCAGACTGTAACGAAAGACAGACAGGGACAGAGATGTAAAAATAAACTGAAAACCAGACAGGAAGAGAGTCACAAATGGAATGGCACACATGATAAGGAAATGTACAGGCATGTAGCAGTCAAGCAGAAGAAACTGGTCAAAACAGAGAGAAGCAGAGAGCAAGTGTGCCGGTATGTTAGGATGATGATGATATGGAGACAGCCCGGTTTGCCCAGAGCAAGAAACCTGTCCATCCATCCAGGAACAATTACAGTCAGCACCAGTGGAATTATATAGCCCCAGTTCAGTCCAGATACACATACACACTCATACACACACATACCCTGTAGCCTTTTTTAAAGCTGGTGTTATGGCAAATTTCACCTTTATACACTTGATGAGTGCAGGCTGTGGATTCCCCCAGAGATCAGCCAGTTTGATTTGACATGTTCTCTCACACTCACACTCTCACACACACTCTCACACACACACACACACACACACACACACACACACACACACACACACACACACACACACACACACACACACACACACACACACACACACACACACACACACACACACACACACACACACACACACACACACACACACACACACACACACACACACACACACACACACACACACACACACACACACACACACACACACACACACACACACACACACACACACACCACACACACACACACACACACACACACACGAAATGCAATATTCAGGTGATGCATTGCAGTCTTTATTACAGAGCCCAGTGAATATTAAGACAAATAGAATGTTTCTCACAGACATCAAGATTTCTTACAGCTATTATCTCCACATTGCCACTCCACACACACACACACAATATTGCACAAACTACTGTAGAGTGGTAAGAACTGAACATCACCTTCACAGATGATTGAATAATTCATCTGAATTACTGAATAATTGCAGTTATTCCCTTTTGTAAAATAAAATAATAGATATTCAAATAAAATATACTCCATCATGACCCTTCTGTATGTGATTTGGTTTATACAGTCAGATTTTATTTCACTATTTGTGGCAAGGCTTTCACATATAAGGCTCTTTTTCAAGAGAGTGATCACACAATAACAGTTTACTGCTGACATCAGCAGCTAATTCATCTGACAGACACATTGTTGCCAGGCCTTGCATCATCAGGTCTTAAAACCTCATGAATTTTACTGAACCTCACAGCTCATTATCACTGTAAACCAGTTATAAACTGACAATATTAACCTTCACTATTAACTTTCAAATAGCCCAGCAGAGACAGGACTGTGTTATTAATGATGTCTTTTTTTAACTTGGGCAGTTCTTGAACTGTTACCAAAAAAATAAAAAATAAATCAAACTTCCATTCATTTTCAGAGTTGAATTGCATGTGTGAAAACAAAAAAAATTTCACTACAGCTTTACCCAGAATTCTTCCTGGCAGCCTCATAGTAAATTTTACTTTATGAAGTTGGGGTGAGCTGTTGCAAGAACGCAGCAGGAAATATTAAGGAAAATTCACCACAAGTGAGTGGAAGTTAATGACATTTATATCCTGCGACTGACGGATGATGATGGACCTTGTGACCAGTGTGTTCTCTGTGCATGTATTGAAACTGCTACATTGTGTTTTCTGTTCATCAGTATGTTCTTTTGTTGATACCATAGTATGTCGAAATACACAGAGCATTGGTATTAAGGTCAAAATTGTCATCATAGCATCTAGTCAAAGAAAAACTGCTCATCACCTAACAACATCAAATGTTGTCTCTTAACTGGGACATATAAATAACAGTAACAGTTTTATCCAAATTGCACACAACTGAAGCCATAGAGTACTTCATGAACAGTTAGAAAATGTCCCATTCCTTACTGCAACTGTAAAAATTTGCAGAACTGACATCTGTGCCTTTCCATAATGTTAAGTCAATACATGCATGGCTTTGTCACTGGAGACAGCATTAAACAAAACAAAAAAGAATTGACATATAATGATAGGTATAAAGAATAATTGGCTGTAATCATATTTTGCTTGCCTCTGATGACAGGGAAAAATGACAAGCAAAGGGATCACCGAAAGCATCACAATTCATCATTTGAGGATTACGAATGCCTGAATCAATACTTGTAGATTACAATTGTGTAATATTATTAAAGAATGTGTTTTTTCATGCAGTTGAACTTGCTAAAGGTAAGTCACAAATCAGACAGTTGCTTTTTAAATGTTTTATTGTAAAAATATAGCATTTTATACACTACAAAAACATCAACACAAACATAATACACAATAGTCTCAAAGACGAACCAATAGCACAACAATTGCTAAGTATCTTTAATGTGCTTTCAAAGAATCACAAAACAGTAATTCAGTTCTTTTAGCTTTATGTGTGACTTAATGATAACATGATCATTGTCTTTGACTTGGGGAAGAACCTATGACTGCATAATCAAGACCGGCTGTGTCATGACCACATAAATATACCTATTTCCACTTCCTGAGAAGTTAAATACACGTTGTAAAGATGGCTGGCCATTGGTAATAAAAGTATTTTTCCCACTTTCAACTTTTCATCACACAACAACACTGGAGTCCTCAATACCATTTCACCAGATGCAAATATTTCAGCCCTCAACTAGTTAATGGAAAACTGTTTATTTCCCAAAAATGAGTTTGTCAATGGCAGAACATATTACAATGCTCACATGCCTTATTGGCTGTAGCCATGGAAAAGATGTCAGCTAGAGATGTCAAATTTGCTTAATATTATTACAAACATCTTGCAACCAATCCTGACAAGAATAGTCTTGTGCCTTTAACTCTTCCCTGGAACATATGATTCAATTGAAACTCATTCTGAATGACTTTAAGTGATGCTCAAACAGCTTATTATAAACAATAATTAGTTGTCCTGGCCCCATTACTGTTTCTGCTTCTTTTCTGATACTTTTAAAGACACTGACACTATGTTTTTCTATGTGTCTTAAACTCTTTAAGATGTTATTGCAATTCTTTATGGACATTATACCTCCACACATTTATTTTTGCCATCAACATCATGTATTGCTTGTGTACATTGGCTAAAATTCTTTCAAACCGCAAAAATGTTTGTATATTTCATGTGAAACAATATATTACCCACTTTGGAAGTCAATTTCACACAACAGAGTTGTTGTTTTTGATATAAAATCAATGAGTTTTGCATTTGAATTTGACACAAAATCAGTTGCTGCTATTGAAGGCATTCTAACACTCATTATCAAGTAAACACAAATCCATACTGTAAATGTAACAAAGCAGGCTACCTTTGCAACCTGATAAATGACAATTGCTTTGTAAGAGATGATCAGGAAAAATGGCCTCATTGCAAAAGTGTTACAATAATATGTCTTTCTATATTTTTAGGCTAACAACACCAAACCACAATGACAACAAATCAATGCCTCATAGTTTTCTACTTAGCAGTGGTAATGCTGAATGCAACAAACACTCAAAATTTGGGTCTTGACTTTGTTGACATCAAAGGCTAGTGCAATTGAATATTTATAAAATCATATCAAACGCTCACTGCCCTTAAGATCTTTTCAACCAGGTACTTACATTCTCGGGGTGTATCAATGTGCCGTACACAAGAAAACAGTGCTCTATATCACTGATGCTTAAGTTTTCCTTATATAGCTTTGCTTTTTTTAAATAAATATTACCAATGCCTTGTGCTTTCTTAATTATCCTCTGGGAAGCATTGGCAATATACTTACGTGATATAATCAGCATAAGGGTACATAGTAATTATAGTAAATCATTGAGAAAAATATTTTTCACAAAAAAAATCAGCCATCTATTGAAAGTTTTAGTCAGAAAGTGAAAAAAATCTCATAAAGTGCAAATTAAATTAGTTCCAACATACACATTGTCTGACATTCTTCTTATTGCCTGTAGATATTGTTGGCAAAAAAAGGAAATAAATAGAAAGATGGGGCAGAAATTGGGACAGAGCATTTTGGTGGGAGAGGGAATAATGGTGCTTTAAAGAAGAGAGGCACTTTAAAGGTCAGAATATTCACCAATTTTTCATGCCCTAAGTACTCTTATTTTTTTAGTAGAAATTCAAGTTGAAATGGGTGGTTGTAAAAAATCCAATTGACTAAAATTTTGGTAGGATAAAAACACTTTTGTCATCTCGTGTCTATGGTATTCATATGACTAAGGACATTTTAATTAAATCTTTCTTTCACAGTACATACCTGATACTATCAGAAATAATAGCTGCATCATGTCAATATAATATCAATAATGTATTCCCCAACTCACTTAAAGATCTGCTTGGGGATAGTTGACAAAGCATATTTGTATTACTTCCATAGATTTGTTTGCATTTTGAACACAAAACCTGTCTGAATTAAAAAGGACCCTGCTGCTTATAAAAGCAGGGAAACCACTAAAGTATCTAAATGGCCCCTGTGTTTCACAATTCAACTACAATACAGACTGAATTGTAGTCTTACATATGAGCTGGAGCAAGTCATGAATGTTGAAAGATAAACTTATGTTTATCTTGTAATCAAACTTTTCCTTTGTAGAACATCTTGCCTTTAAAACACATACCAATAAAGAATCACTGTTGGGATGATTCCCCACCTACATTTTGTCAAGAAACAGGTCAAAAGGTATGATCATTGTTGGCAAGTGTAAGAGCTTAAACGCCACAAGGAGGTTGGCTATCTAGCAACATTTAGGTTTTTACTTTGACTCCTCTTGAACACACATGAAGGTGTGCATGTTTGAAAAGTAGAATTATTTTCTGAAAAAGTGAAACACCCCTTAAAAACCTTACATTCTTCTTGTGTGCTTTTCTAGGATTTTCATAAAGTGAAGTGTCACCACCTCTTATAAAACTAGCTTTACAATCTCATTTGGTCTCCACCACAACACCAGCAGTACAGTTGTGTAAAACCAAAAAAAACGTGTTACCTTTCGTTGACATCAAGGGCTACAAATATACTGTCAGAACTCCTGAACACGATGGTGAAAAGGGTTCAAGTTTTAGCAATAAAGCACTGAGCAGCAATGCATAACATACCATCCCAAGGAGAAGTAAAGCAAGGGCTGACATCATTGTATACTTTTAAACCATACCAGAAGTTCATATAACAATCCCTGTGTACACTTCTCTGGCTATTTAGAGACAGCAAAGTATTCATTGCTGCCTCATTATGGGAGATAAAAATATTAGGTCTTGCAAAATTTTAAAAAAGACAATCACCAACAAAACAACATGAATATTTGATAATTCTGCATACATTTCGCAGCTTTCATATGTGGAGACAGTAATGCTGGTTGCATTCACCTGACAGGCGCCCTGGTCTAGGTAGCAAGAATGCCGATTTAGAAAATTTGTCATGATTTACTAATGTGTACTACTCTGAGAGACCTTAATCAATGCTGACCTGTCTGCACGATGGTAGACAGGAACAATGCTCCCTGCTTTAAATATATAATACAATATATACATGAAAGACATGTAGACAAAGCTTCTCAGTAGTCAAAGAGAGGATTATGATGGAACACAAACAGTTCACATCGTTCATATTTTTTATAAACAAGTTTTAATAAATAAATGATTATCAAGTTGACCAATATTGCCTTCTTTCTTTCAAGCAGTCCTTTAAGAGTGAGGCTTATGGTGGTGTGGCAGACATGGTGGAGAAAGACTGAACAAATTGCTGAGGGTTTTGTGTGGTACCTGAAGGTTGTTGGTTAAGTGAAGGCTCCATGAAAATCTGAGTGCACTCTTGAGTGAAGGCTGCATGGGATCGAAGAGATATTCCATTGGAATCCGAGCAAAGGTTTCTTTACAATACAAGCAAACAGACCCATCAGAATCTGGTTGACCATTTTCAGTTAAATTTATGTGGTAGTTCCATCATGACAGTGACAAATATTCCATCAGTTTTTACTTTAACTTTCCATGACTTTCTGATTGAGATTTCCAGCTGCATCCTTTAGGAAGTGCCTTTGAACATTATCTTAATTCCATTTGAGGATCAGTCTCTGAGCCTGCATGAGGGTTCATGAGAATCTGGATGAAGGATCAGTTCTGCTATAGTATCTGCTTGACTCTAAGTGACTGATTTCAAAATGTTAATTTTCTGGAAGAGCCTACATGAGATTTACCTGATATCTGAGACAAAGTTCCCTTTACACTTGTGCAAAGTATGAAGCAATTAAAATTTAAATCTGCATACCCCTACATACATTTAGAGCAAGGATAATGAAAAGTCAGATGAATCTTTTTAAGTTTCATTCAGATGCTAGTTGTAAGGACCAACATTTTAAAAGCCAAATGATATCCCGCTTGAGGGCATATCAATAAAAATAGACAATTTTTTTGTTGCATCTATTGTTATGTGTAAGGCAATACATTCATGCAGAAGAAAAGTTATGGATAATACTGAAGTCTAGTCAAACTTTTCATCTGGAGGGCAACGAGACCTGGTAAATAACTTTTTTTTTTAATTTCAGCCTACTGAAAAATTGGTCTGGAAGATATTCATGAGCATACTGTATAGCAAAGCAGGAGGAAGAATCATTGCTGAGTTGCTGGATTACAACTTCAGTCTTGTTGCATGAAGTCCTGCCTGAGACAGAAACGCTCACTCCAGAGTACATCAGCATGGAAAAGCAAAAGCTGAAACTAATGAAGATTTTTTTCCTTTGTTCATTATTACATGTTAACCCTGCCTGTGAAGGGCACTCAATTCTCTGACTGGTCAATGGAAGTGTAATTTCAGACAAAACTCCAATAGAAAAGGTTGGTACTGTTCAGAGCCACTGGGTTCAGATCCCCTGAGACAAGCTGACTGAGTAAGGGTTGCAGCCTGCTGTATGAAAACTTCCATATTTGTGATACTGTCAAAAAAAGTGCCGTTTAGTCTCAAAGCCAGATCTGGGGTCTTTGTATCATGTTTGATCTGAGAGAATCCAAGCAGTGCAAGAAATATCACAATCTCCAAGAGTCACAGAAATTAAATAATTAAAATGAATCGTCTTCCCTTGGTTTTAGTTCAGTTTAGCTCTTCATCTTTTTCCTTTCATTATGCACCACTCAGCTTCAGTGAACAGTTTGGTTCAAGTGCTGCAATGTCAAAAATCCACTTTGACAACACAAGCAAACTCCATACAAAAGCACCACAAAATGTGCTTTCTCCAGATAAGATCCAAAAACACTGGGGTCTCCTTAACCATAGAAAGTGCTATGCTGCTCTAGGTCCAACAGCAAATCTCTGTTTTTTTCATCATACTAGGTCCAAAAATTGGGTGTATGTTTGTTTTTAAGTATGTGTCTTTGTGTGTAGGTTGCCTCTACATATGCATCAGATGTTTACAGTAGAGTTTATGTTGTTCATATGGACTCTCATCTCCTGAATGCTTGTGATAATTTTTTTCTGATGTCCAGCTAAGTTGACTCCCACTCTTCGTAAATCCCTGAAAAACAGCAAACAATGTACTTATTTATTAGGATCCTTGTTTGATCTGCTAACACAAAGAAATATATGATGCAGGTAATAAACATTACTGTTTGTATACCTTCTTTTTGGAAACATTTGGAAAACTACTTTTTTTGTTCCAATATGTTGATACCATTATGTTGTAAATTCTTATCACAGGTAAGCAATCAAATTTAAAAAAATCCTAAATGTTTTTTTATGTCAAATGAATGCTTTATGGAGGCCCTCAATTTTATAAAATATTGGAAGGCTTGTTTTAACATTTTCACATACTTGAATAGATCCTGCATTCTCATGTCACTGAACATTGAATTGCTTCTCTTATTTGCCCGATATAATATAAAATGTGGATTACAGTAAGGTAAGGCCTGTTGATCCTAAGTAATTAAAATCCAAACAATTTGTAAGGGAAGGTTACACAGTAGGCAACTGGTTTATGTTTTTTGTGCAAGGAGCAGACTTACTCGGATGTCATCTGAGCCACTGTCTCCAGTGAAGAGTATCCACCTTCCATGAAGAGCTCAGTGTAACGACCCATCTTAATGGAGTCAAGCCACTCCCCAATGGTCTGGCTCCGAGTACTGCAGTTCCCTTCTACACTGGCATGCTCCACTAACAGGTTGGAAACCCTGGCACAATCAAGAGAGCACAGTAGAAGAAAGAGTGAGGCAAATCATGTCAAAACACAAGATCATCAAGATTATTTCAGAAACTCTCTTATTTTATTATGACAGATTATCACATTTAATGCTTTACTGTAACCAGCCACTTCTCGTATTATTATAAAACATTTTAAGAAGTGGAATGTGTTGTGCAGTCAACCATATTTTAAAGAGCCCATATTATGCCTTTTTTGGGGTTGGTATATTTAATCTATGTACCTACTTTTGTACGTTCACAATAGCTAAAGTTAGAAAAAAGTGTCTGTTTTCATGTACTGCTCCTCCTTGCTCCCTCTTACGCTCTGAATCCGTCAGCTGCACTCTGTTGAGCCCACACTGTTAGACCCCACGTGGGCCAAGTCTGCTCTGATTGGTCTGCCGATCCGCTCCGTCGTTATTGGTCAGTTGCTCAGCACGCTTCTCGGAAATTTCAACATGAGCTGCAGGGCTTGCCACAACGACCCAATGGGCTTAGATCAGTGATCTCACACTGACAATGACGTCTGACTGACACATTTTTATCGAGGAGGGCTAGAACCGAGCATTACATGCAGCTAATGCTACAGCTAACGGGAGGAGGTAGGAGAAGCCGCGTTCCTGGATTATTATTTAAATCCCAGGGTGCACAGATCCAAGAGAGTCATGGTGTCCAGGTGAAGTCTCCTTGCTCTGCGGCCATGGAGATGCAGGGAGTTTCTGTCCAGAGGTGTCTTGTTGGGTTTAGTACCCTCACGTCGCAAAGTGGTAATGGCCGATGCCTCAACATGAGTGTGGCAGTGCAGAGCAGTGAGAGGGAGTTGGACAGCGCAGGAGGCTATGCAGCACATAAATGTGCTCTAGCTCCGTGCAATGCATTTACCACTCAACGAGTTCCTGCCCTATCTGCCAAATCAATCATCAAGGGGCATCAGGTCGACCCGGCTGCTGCAGGTGGCGCACCATCTATTTGTATGGGCTTTCCTCGCCTTGTCGGTGAGACAACATAAATATATTGTTTTGTTATCTGAATTCATACCTGTGTGAGGAGTTGACAAGTTTTTTTAATGAGCTGGGGTTTCGAATGAGCTTGTCTAGTAGACTGACAATCTCATCAAACTTGGGCCGGTTGCTGCGTTCTCGCTGCCAACAGTCCATCATCAGGTGGTACAGAGCCTCAGGGCAGTCCATAGGACCTGGCAACCTGTAGCTCTCCTCTACCGCTTTAATTACCTAAGGAGAGGCAAGGACACAATACAGAATAGTTAAAAAGATCTGCTTACAATTTCGAAGCTGAGAAATGTAGTGATATGGAGGTCAAGGGTTAGAAAGTAATACCCAGTTAAACCCAGGGGTGAAGAAGATATGGGGTTACAAGCCAGATAATTAAAACCTCCCTGTAAGACTCAATCCTCCTTTAGAGAGAAAGATGAGCCCTGAATATCATTTTAAGTAAGTGGAAATTAGTAAGAAAAGAGTTCCTAAAATGATGTAATATTACATAAAAACACATGCTTAACCCTTCACAAGACTTCCTAAAGTCCTTAAGTGACAGAAATAACTTCATCCATCATCCCATCAGGTGTGCAATTGTTATAAACTGACTCATCCTGAACATTAAACAATTTGATGAACATGATTATGAGTGTTTCCCCACCCTATAACATGTCCATCTTTGGTCTTTTGAATAAGTAAGTAATTTGATCTTTCATGATCAGTTTCTTCAAGTGACTCCGGACAACATTTAACAATCTGCAGAGGGTGTACTTTGTGAGGAAGTCTCATAAAGTATACACACACTTTAAATAACATATCAGCAATACACATCCATGTTAATAAACCTAAATTTGTACCAGAGCTAATGTACATCAGTAGTTTCCTGAGGCAGGGAGGTACAAAAATAAAATTTTCATTTTCAGGAGACCCTGCGGGACAGTCCACAAGACGGCATACAAAAATATACTAGTAGGACTGCTCCTGAAATTCTCCTGGCCGGGCTTTCACACTTGCCGAAAACTCCTCAAAAACTCCTGATATTTGCAGGAGGAGCTGCACGTGTGAATGCAAACGGCACACATTTTTCCCTCCGACTTTATCCAGAGCGTCTCCTGCCAGCCCCATTGATATCCACACCTGCTGTTTGTCTGACCTCTAAGTCAGACCTCTGTTAAGTAAGCAATCAAGAAGGAATACTCTGTGGGGACAGCAACACATTGTAAAAGCATTGTTTGTTCATTTGAAACATTGCAAAACCCAGTAAATCAGTTCTCTTAGAAAAAGCTACGCAGAACTCACTGACAGATATGTTTGGGGTGGAAAATTGAGTAAAATGAATAATAAATAAACATGGCTCTCTCTGTTAGACCCTACTGAAGAAAGCAGGCTGAATTCCTTAGCCTAGTTCTGCCAGAGCAAGACACTGGAGGGAATTGATTTGTTGAGTTCATGACAGCCTTCACTTGTGTCAAATTCACACAAAGGACTAACGTGATAGCACTCCAGTACACATGAATGCGTGAAAGCTCACGTACACATGCACCAAAGCGTAAGATAGAAGCGCAGCATTAAATCATTGCTACGTGCTGAGAGGGAGAAGAAATTCACATACTGTAGCTGACTGGCAGGGAGGAAAGATCAGAGGAGGAAAATGAGAGGCCAAGGTGGGAGAAAAAAAAAAAAAAAAGAGCAGGAGGTGAAGCGGCAAGCAAGAATACAGACAGATATTGCATTTTTGAGAGACAAAAGAGAGAAAGAGAAAAAGAAGAGAGAAGCAGAGAAGGGAAACAGAAGGAGAGAGAGCTTGGAGAAAGAGAGTGTGAGAGCCTGCACTTTCTGGCGTAGATCAGAGAAAATCCAGCATAACGCTTTCAATTAAACATCAAACGTCTCTTCTGCCTTCCCCTCATCCTCCTCTCCTCTCCTCCCTCGCTCTAGACTTCTCTGAGACAGGCAGCCTAATAACCAGAAGGAGGAGGGGAGGGGTCTGAAGCAGGGAATGAAGAGGTCACTGGAGGGCTGTGTGTGCATATGTTGCCTGTGTGTGTGTGGGTGGGAAATGAGTGCATGTGTGTGGTGTCTGAATCAAAATGCTACATTCTCACTCTCTGTCATGTCACAGGATTGCTGTACATTTGGGTACTTGCTGAGCAGAGCTTACTTGTCACAGCTAGAATATCATTGAACAGTTACGCATTTGCAAGCGTCGCAGTTTTAGGGGCGGCTGTTTAAGGGGCCGCTGTTGCTTAGTTGGTAGAGTCGGTCGTCTCTCAACCGGAGTTGGATGGTTCAATCCCCAGCTCTATCCCCGCTCTGTGTCCTTGGGCAAGAAACGTAAACCCGAATTGCTCCCGCTGCTTCGTCGGTGGCTTGTGCATGGGATTAGTTACTTCAGGTGGACACCAGTAGTCAGAAGACTAGAAAAGCACTATACAAGCTCAAGTCCATTTACCATTTAGCACATGGAAAATATTTGAAATAGTAATACGATTCTTACAATAATCAGAAGTTTAGAAGGGATGACTATTTAGAGATAAGTCCTTTGAGTTGTGGAAAAACTAGAACAGTGCTTCAGAAGTGCGTCAAGTAAATGTACAGCCTGTTTGCTTGCCATATTGTTCTACGAAGCACTTCATCTCCATTTGCATTCACCTTTTGCTTCCACACACCTTTCGCTATTTGACATAATATCTCTGTGTGTGTTTCCATTAGAGCTATTCATTGCCATTGTCTGCACTTTGCAGTAACAGATTAATTTCAATGGAATCAGTCACAGCCTTCCCAATTTCTATCCACATTTAAAACTCCCAAGCAACAATGCAGTAAGCCTTCTTCTAACAATTGCTACACTAATGGAAATGAATACTGAATGGCAGACCAAAAGAACCCGCTAAATTCAAGGTGCAAATGTAAAAAATATGCAATTTTATTCAGGACGCTTGACCTTTTGAGTTGAAATAAGTTATGGATTAAGAAAGTGAGAAAGGTAGAACAATGGGCAATGGCCTGTGAATCTAAGAGCTGTTGAACCTCTTTAATTATGCATGCAAGGGCTAGAGAACGAGCAGGGAGACAGGGAGGCATGATTGGTTCATTAAAATTGGTACCTTGTGGCAGACATTGGTCTAAGTTTTTACAGCCTTACAACTACAGAAGACTGATTTTCTTTATTCCTTTTTCAGAGCACATGAATTATTAATTTCTGTCAGGTCTTAAAAAGTATATCTGGAGAAAATGACCAACCCTGCCTTTAACTGTTACTGCCAATACTACACATACTTTATAACCATTATAACTGACACTGTAGCTATACAATCTATCTTCTTCTTCCTCATTGTTGTTGTTGTTGTTGTTGCTCTGTTTGTCTCTTTCCTTCTCCTTCTTTCTGCATCTCCCTCTATCCCACTTTCCAAGCCCAACACAGTTTTGGCAGATCGCTCTTCAACGTGAGTCTGGTTTTGCTCAAGTTGTCTGCCTGTTAAAAGTTTTTTTTCTTGCCACTGTAACTTTGTTAAATGTTGCTTAGTGCTGTGCTCATTGAGCTTAATGTTTGGTCTTTGTTGATAATATAACCACAGGTAAGGTATTTAATATAATAACATAATACTGTATAATATAACAAAGAGAAGGGTATTTTACCTACTCTTTTGTAAAGTATTTTGAGATATTTGGTATTAATTGGCACTTTACAAATAAAGATTGTTGATTGATGAACTGAGCAAACTCAATCTGCTGCTAAAGATCATATGACTGAAAGCTCCTCAACACAGCTACTAAACAACTAAACTACTGGACATGTGAGTCATATGCCAAACAATTTCATTGCCCTTGTTCAGTCCTGCTTTCTTTCCATGCACCACCCAAAGGTTAAAAATATAAATGTTAAACTTGACAAATTAAACCAACATAGCATGCAGTGAATGCACACAAACAGTTTTTATAAAAATGCAGCCTCAAACTTACATCTTGATTGGACATCTCCCAGTATGGCCTCTCTCCGTATGACATCACCTCCCACATGACAATACCATAACTCCACACATCGCTCGCTGAGGTGAACTTCCTGTATGCAATCGCCTCTGGAGCTGTCCAGCGAATAGGAATCTTCCCGCCCTGGGACAACATGGGAGGAAATTGTCCATATCATGCAAAGTGCTTGGTGTATTTAAATTAATGTTGGCTATATGTAATCTTTAGCTTTTAATTTTTTTGTTGATGGGAATAACCCAAATATGTTGAAATTGACAACAACTGAGTGCTACTCTTTTACAAATGTGTATCAGCAGGGCTGCAGTCTTTTAAAGTTTTTACTTTTTGTCTTTTTTTTTTTTTTACACAAGGTAAGCAATCAAGAACAGGACTTCATTTTTTCCATTACATTTTGGCCTTTTATGTTTTTATTCAGAGGATAGGACAGTGCATAGAGAAGAAAACTCTGAAGAGATAGGGGGGATTATATGTGGAAAAGTGCAGAGGGTCTGATTTGAACCCTGGCCACCCACCTTTATGAAATATAAATGCTAGACTATCTGGTATGGCACCCCAGAACAGATCTTAATTGAGACATTTCTGCTCCATGTGGTCCGACCAACCCACAGTTACACAAAATAAAAACCAATCCAGGAACTCATTAATGAAACCAAGCTTCACTTTCCTTTCCAAATTTCCTGAACAAACTGTTGGGGGCCAGAGATTTCGCTGAGTTTCACAGGAAAACAAGGTTTCAGCTGATGAGTGGTGAAATTAGCTTGATGCAGAATTGATGAAATTAGCAGCAGGATATCGCTGGGTCTGATTATTTCAAGGGGGTGAATTATTTTATCCTCACTACTCTGTAAAGCTGTAAGGTAAAGATAGCAGAGAAAACGATTGGGGGGGGGGAGGGTCTTAAAATGAAAGGTGATTGGAAGTATATTTGACATTAGGCAGCAAAACCCACTGCTAATTGAGTGTTGTAGACACTGAGCAGAGCACTAATTGGTCATCCTCCTGCAGAAAGCAGCTCCTTTCTGGCTGACAAGTTGCCGCTCAGCCTGGGACTCATTGCACAATTAAAAACCTGCTGCTGCCGTCCTTGAGTGTTTGTGAGTGCAAGGATGTATGTGTGTATTGGATTTCACCAAGACTCTTGTGTTACACTTCACCACTTAATCCAAAGTCTGATATGCTAAAACTCTCTGCATGAACACACAGAAGTACACACAGGATTAAACAGAAATGTCCTACACATGCTGTTGTGGACAGTTTCAGATTTAATATTTCTGTAGTTAAGCATATCAGTGAAAACTTCTCTGGCTAAAGCCCTTAATGTCCATCATTGGCTTCTTATTCTTATTTCTATGTGACTGTTAGTTGTCAAGCAAACCGTTTTAATTGTGACAAAACTTTAAGGCTCAGAGCCCAATTCTTCACACACAACATTCTTACCCGTGTGGTGTATGCAGCCTCCGGGTCATCTTCAAGGACTCGAGACAGGCCAAAATCAGATACTTTACACACAAGGTTACTGTTGACCAGGATGTTACGAGCTGCAAGATCACGGTGCACATAGCCCATATCGGACAGGTATCTACAAGGATCATAAAAAAAGGAGGGGATTATACATAAACGTTGTTCCCGTTATGTGTTCAGTGAATACATTGTGTGTTACTTGTTTGTGTACCTCATGCCAGAAGCGATGCCACGCAGCATACCAACCAGCTGAATGACAGTAAACTGAGCATCGTTTTTCTGGAAAAGAAAAAACACTTTGTTAACTTGGTTCCAGTATCTTTAATTAAACCACTGTACACATCATGCATGTGAATAATTAACAGATAACATTAAGTGTGAAACAAAATATAAAACAAAACACACCCAAATTCACTTTCAGTTATTGAGCATATCCAGTGCAATACTTCTCAACAGTGCCTAATGCATTTTCGTAATTCTGAATTCTACATGTTCTTGTTCTCTAATGATAACAGAGCAACCATATATTCTGACATCAGAAATACACTGTAAACATTTGAAATTGATTTAACTATAAAATCCATAATTATAATACAAAGCTAACACCACTTGGAGGTCAACATGGTGGTATGCACTCGTAAAGGAATGCGTAAGTTCTCAGAGAGGATTACTAACTCCTTTGGAATTTGTTTGGTTATGAAGTGTCAGATCTCGAGTAAACCACTATTAGCTCTATAAAATCTAGTAACTAGGAAGCAGCAGTATGACTTATTGCAGCCAAGTGGGATAAAAAACCTGCATCTCGAGTTGTACATAAAGTCAAAGTGAAAATAATTTAGGGCAGTAGAGTTACTCTCATTTGCTCATCTCATGCCTGGAAATATACAGATGAAATAGTATATGTCTAATAATCAAATTACCTTCTTGTAATGGCAATGATGTTAGCACTCTAATAATTCTTCTCCATGTTTGGTATCGACTGACCATCTTTGTACCTCAGATCATTTATATGTGTTCTATAGGCTTACCAAAACCAACATTAAGGATTTCTGTAATAAAAGCATGTTCATTGCAAAAACACTTTCGGTAGATCATTTCTTCTGTCCAATTTAAAATGATTGGTAGTTACTGGAGTTTGCAGTCTACCTGACAAACTTGGGAAAAAGCAGATTTAGTAGATAGAAGTAGTAGAAGAAGAAGAATGTCTGACTCATCAGGAGGTAACTTCTCGAAGAGCTGGCCGACTCAGGAGACTAGATCACTGATTTGGCCGTTCAGCAGTGGAGTGCAGCAGTCTCAATGTTAAGTCTTTTTATCCAACAACTCCTCGTCAAAACAAAGCACATGCATTCCAATCAATTCCTGACTATACGTTCTGAGTAAAGTAGCCTCAAGTAAACCCAGTGATCAGGTATGAGCCTAGAAAACTACAAACTCACTCCTCTTAACTACAGATCTCCTTTTTCATTTTCAAAGTTGTAGCAATTTCTTAAGATCAAACCAAGAATGAATAAAATATCCCAGGATCTTCAGTTCCTTTTTGATTCTGGTCACATCACTGACCGAAAACCCCATCTCTTCCAAGTATGTTTATATTTTTACCAATTGGTCATAGTTTACTAATCATAATTATAACTTGATAATAGTTTATGCTACATAACTTTGTAAGTGGTCCGTTATTGACCAGCACCAAATTGTGATGAGTGTATGAGCAGAAAACAAAACAAGGAACAATTTTCCTTGAGCTTATTACTACTAAGGGTTGTATGCCTTCATACGTAACTGATGAAAACAGAACATTTGAGAAAGTCTCATCCTCAATCATGGAAACCCTGTTCATTTCTTCAGATAACAGCTCTCACTTTTAGTTCAAGCCTTTCGATCCAAAAAACAAACCATCCATCCACAGCAGAACATTCCACTTACATGTGAAACGAGATGTTGAGTCAAAGATGTGAGGTATGAGTCCTATGGTGCAATGCCCATAACTGTGACACTAAATCCAAAACTCAGTTTAGCCCCTGCTCCTCTCATGTCTGTGTCATTTATACCGACCTCAGTACACCAGTCATCCATGTAATTACTTCACAGGGGTTTTTTTTTTTCTCTGCTCCGCCTGCTGGTCCCTCAGCTCCTCTGCCTCCCCTTTGCCATCCAGGATTACTCCCGAGGCACACAGACCAGTCATGTCAGCAGTTTCCAGTGACCATAAAGAAAATCTCCAATGACCTTCCTCTGTCTTTTGTCTCACAACGACAATTTTATTCCACACTGTCTGAGTGACGATATCTTGTTAAGGTGAAAGGTCCTGCATTACCCTTAAGACCTATCCTTCCAAACACTACCTTGCTATCGCCATTTCCCAAATATTTTGTAATTGCCTTTCTGAAATATGCCCTTACAATTTCACAATTGTTTGACCTTATTTTTTCCTCATCCGTCCATTTACCATCTGCTGCAGAAATGTACCCATTTTTTCATGCAGTATTTAGCCTTGTCTGCCAACTGAACATCTTGCTATTGTAACCAGTGAACAGACTGAAGTGCTCTGGAGAGGGATCACTTCATTTAGGGATTTGACAGCCAGTCCCTCCATTACATTTCACCTTCTCCATTCAGGATACTACACATTTTATGGAAAGTGCAGACATTATTCCAGCTGAGTGTTTATGTTTATTCAGATTTTCCAGCAAAGCGAAACATTTCACAATTGTAAGACTAAATTTAAAACGTGTATAAGGTATACACACTCAGGGCTGAACTCCTTAGATATAAAAATAGCCACAATAAAAAAGATTCAATGATCAAATGTGGTCAGGAATAATACTATTCTCAATACACAATGAAGTAAATTTGCTTTCAGTTTTTATTTGTATAGCACCAACTCCCATTGAAATATGTTGTTTAACACCTGCCTAAATGATGACCCACATTTTCACAACTATCACATATTCTTTCCTTATTACCTTATGCTTGAATGTGTAGAATGATGGCATTGAATTTGATTGATAATAGCTTTGGCAGACTTGTTCTTTTTTCGTCCAGGCCGATACTCTTTGCCTCCAGTGATGTGTTTCCTTTCCAGAAGATAAAATGCTTTTCCATCTCTGATATAATAATCATCTCAATTATAATGTCAGCAAGTAATGGTTCTCCAACTCTACCCATTTGCCATTTACTTTAGTACAGTGCAACACAAGTCCACAACTGAGATTTTTACTATGCATTATTTTACTCTCCCTCATCATTATCCACCTCCCATTTCCTATAATTATCATCTAACTATTTATCAAAGTGTTTCTGCCCTTCACTAATACAGTCCTTTTCTTCATTACCTTCTGAGTTTCCACGACCCTATTCTTTTGAATTCTTACCTTGAGGAAAGTGTCCAGTGATCCGTTCTCCATGTATTCAGTGATGATCATGACTGGCTTGCCTGAAACCAAATATCCACAATAAACTCGAGAAATACAGAAGAATACATAGAAAATACATAAATAACAATAATAATTTGAGAGAAAGAAAAGATGAGCCATAGGTCTGTTGCTAGATAGATAGATTTTTTCCTGTACTGAACCACCAATGATATCGGTAATACTTTTGAGTTTAAAAGAGTAAAAACCACAGTACTTTATAAATCATAGCTGAAGCTGTCGAGAAGAAATTTGTGTAATGGATGCTAAAAAACCCTGACAATGAACAGCTTGCAGACTAAAGAATTTAGAAGAGTCTGACAAGTAAACCAGAACCTGACATGTGCAGCTTGAAATGTCTACATAGTAGAAGCATTATGATGAGTCCTAGTAATCTGCATTATGACATATAGTACATCCAAGAGGGTGTCCTTCTAAAATCTGCTGATAACTTACTCTTGGTGACCACACCCTCCAGACGGATGATGTTTGGATGGTTAAACTGGCCCATGATTGATGCCTCCCACAGGAAGTCACGTCTCTGCTGTTCAGTGTATCCTGCTTTCAAGGTCTTAATGGCAACCTGCATCTCTCTTTTCCCAGGCAGCCTCAGAGGTCCACTGCATACCTCGCCAAACTCCCCTAAAGAAAAACACAGTGTTTGACTGTGGCCCCCGAATTCAACCCATATTGAGCTGCAAAAGTTTAGTCAAACGGTGAAACCAACTTTTCAAAGTAACCTGAATCTAAAAGTTAAAAGTTCACATTAAAAGGTGGTAGTGTTGTAAGGATTATTGAAAAAAACATCACATTTTGAAGATAATAAACCCAAATGACTTCGGAATGCTAAAATAAAGCTGGACCAAGTTTAAAAGAAACAAATTATTCATTAATATTTAATAAATCTACCAATTTAAATCCTGCATGTGTTGTTCAAAATCAATAACTAACTTGTCCTGTCTACCTGCAAGCATCACTTAACACATCAGTGCTCCTAATGTTTATATACACTAGACTGACCCCAAACTACTTTATATGTACAAGGGCTGATTTCACTCATGCAAATCAACATGTTTGAGCCATTGGAACTGTCATTTTCAAGCACAATGTTTGGTTTGTTTGACTGTGTCTAAATGTGTGTTTATTCAATGGAAAGCATTTAAAGAGGAGACTACTGTAGAGGTAATGAGAAAATGATGTAATTCTATATAACTTGAAGAAGTAAGTCCAGGCGAGTGTTTAGATGATATGTTTAGAGTGTTATAATGCAGCATCACAGAAACCCACCAGCTCCGATGATCCTTTCTATAGAGATGAATGAAACATCAATCTCCTGTGCAAATTCATGGACCGCCTGGTTGGGATCTTCATAGGTGAGGGGGTCAATGTAGGTACGCACTCCTGGAAACTTAACTGCAGACACATGCATAGAATTATCACCATCATTATATATCACTATTACTTACATCAATTCAGGGGGCACAACATGGATGGTCCAACTCTGAACACCTGAATAATGACTTTGCTACAGATAAAGTATCTTTTAATCACTATTGCCAGCATTAGAATGATTATTTAGTTCATTAACAATAGTAGAATTAAACATTTAAGATAACATTTATAATACATTTTTTCAAAATATTTACATTCTGGCTAAAATCTGCTTTCATGCAAACAATTTTGCATTGATAAAATTAGAAAAATTAAATGAAAACACCTTCTTACGCTTTTATTGTTATTCCTGACTTACTGTATTGTTTCTGAGATTTAGTACATGCTCAGAACTACTGAATCCTAACACGCCACATACTTAATAACAGAATACAATACATCTAACATGCAAATACAATTCACATCCTTCAATGTTCCCCAAAACAAAACATTCTTAAAGTCATTTTTCTGTGGGCATGACTAGTCGTTAACATATTTTCTTTCACAGTATGTATCAATATGACATTAAACCACACATACTGGCACTTGTTAGTGTTGAATGACCCATCACAGCCAGCTCTGATGGCAACAGATGGTTAGCAGGATACCATGCCAAAAATGTGGTGGTGAATATTAAGCTGTTATTGCCTACAAATCATCATAGCTTGTGTGCCTTCTGCCAACATGACTGCAAAGGAGAAGGCCTGTGGAAGTGCCAGTCAACTGTACTGGTAACACACACACGTGTGTCTGCTTAGAAGGAAGTACAAACTCATGAACAAGACCGCTGTCCGAACCCTGTAGTGTGCACATAGAGTAAACTTTAGATGAACTTTCCCTCACACACACATACACATACACAGACAGCATGAGTTTGGGTTTTCTTAACATACTGTGACCGTTGTGGAAATGCATCTTCTCCTCTTCAGGATCTTGCTTTGCTTTGCTGTAGCCACAACGTCTGCAAGGGAGAGGACACAAACACATCAGAGCAAATGTCTTGCCTCTGTATTATCATTTACAAGCTTTTTCTAAAATTTGAGGTTATTGAGGAAACAAGCATCGAAAAAAAAAAAACATTTCAAGATTTTGCTGCGGAATAGTTTTACTTTGTTCATTCACAATACCATTATTTATCAATGCATGGAGGTATTTTGTTAACATACATCTCCAGTTTCTAGTATAAGGAATTAAAAAATATTGTATGCCTTTATGATTAAATCTACTGTGTATCTAAAGTGATATTTACACAAACAAATAGATTTCACAGTAAAGATAGAACAAAATGGCCCGTACACAAAAACACAAATGCTGGCCAATAGAGGGCAAGACTACAAATGTATGAAATTAAAAAAATGTTCAAGTTTTTTTTCAACTGAAAGATAGATAATTTAGGTCGAGTTAACAAAAGTACATAAAGGATACATTTTTAACCCCTGGCTATATTCATCCATAACAGATCTTTTTCTGTCATGCAGATGTGAGAAAGTGTGTCCATGTACCCCCCGATATATAGGCCAAAGCCCTGTCGTGATTGTTTGTTGCATGCATGTGCGTCTGTGCGTACTGTATGCTCAAAGCTTTAGTAGTCAATATTTTGACAAGCAGTATCAGAGATAACCACAGATAACCCAGATTAAACAGGAGGTTTGCTTTTCAACTGGATCCTATGTGCAAACACACAAAAACAAATGATGCTCTTAGGACACACAGACTCATGCAAATGTTTATACCTCTGGGGTAAATGCTATTCACTTGACTACATTTGTAAGACACAAAGTCAACAAAATAAGGGTTTAGAGTTTTTCTAACGTATTGTTCTTGAAAACAATGCATGGGCCATCTACAGGGGTGGGTCCACTTCTTTCCCATCATGACTCTCTGTAGGATAACCAAGCTTGGCTTGAGGGGTTTGGCATGGGCAGCTGGATAGTCTGGGTAGGAGAGTCTGTGTGTGTGTTTGTGTGTGTGTGTTTTGTACATGTGTCTGCCTGAGGGTGTTTAGTTTGCCGGATCTGTTGAGTCAAGGGGATTGAGCACGCTCAATGCCCAGCATGCCCTCCAACTCCTACTAGTGTGTGTGTGTGTGTGTGTGTGTGTGTGTGTGTGTGTGTGTGTGTGTGTGTGTGTGTGTGTTAACAATGCATGCATGATTAATTTAGTGTGTGTGTGTGTGTGTGTACATGTATGCTCTATGTCTATGTATGTGTGTATAGAGGAGATTCATGCAGGGGGGTAATCGTGGTTGGAGTGCTTGTGTCCTAAATCCATTACATGAAAATGTTGGTATTCCTCCCCCACACGAAACGAGAATAATCACCAATCCTCAAATCTGGTCTTGCTAAACCCAAATGCCTTCTATGTCTTTCTGATTTACTTTTCAATCATGACCAAAGCTCCACCATCTATTTATCTTGGCTTTTGACAAACAACTACACATTAACCAACTTCAAAAATAATAATAAAAGAAACTAAGTTGCTGAAATGGAGACCAGTTTAAGCAGGATGGAGAGTAAATTAACTGGCAACAAAATGTGAGCATTGCAAAGTTAGATAATAAAAATATATGAAAGGGGTGAAATGTGAATGACTACATCACCAAATTATAGATGTAGATCTAAATTCACACTGAGCTTCAACCATCCCCAACCTAGCTTTACATGTTGCAGTAAAATTAACTTGGTAGTAGTTTAATCAAATTAAATAATATAAAATGGCTGTTTCTGTGGAATAACAAATATGTAAAAAAAAAAAAAAAAAGTGTAAATATATTTACAGAGATTTTAGGGAGTTCCAAGGACATCCATTCCTATTTAAATTAATTAAGAATGTATAATAAAAGCTGCTAAAGAAATATCCCTTTTAATTATGGCATGCTAAGTACTAGTTCTCAGCAACAACATGTTTCTCTCTGTGTTTAAATGCTTCCACTGCAGCTTTTGCATTTGTATACGAGGTGTGTAAGAGCATCATGTGTGAAAATGAGTTGCTCAAGGTTAAGTGAAGGTCATATTAGTCCAGAGGCACGCAGGTTCAGCAATAATGTGGGTTTTTTAATGCGTCAGGAAAATGGTGCGAATGTGTAACAAAGCAACACTGTGGCATGAAACCAGAGCCTCTCCTGGATTGCATTGATTAACTACTGCTGAAACCTAAAAAGCATCCTTTAGTCATGGCCTGCGGAAGAAAAGAAAAACTACCCATGCTTCTAAAACCGAAATACTGCTCAAAAGTCAGAAGAGTCCAAACCGAGATTTCGATAGGTCAGTAGGGACAATGGGACGTCCTCATAGACAGAAATGTTACATTACATGTGGGTGTCATAAAGTTAAAATAATTGTGAATATTGCTTGACTACATGTTTTTATTTCTTACCGTCCACTAAGCAAGAACCCAGCAACAACTGCCAGTAGTACCAGAGCCAGTGTGATGGCTACAGCTACAATCAAAGCCTGAGTCCGCTCACTGGTAGCAGTCACTGACAAAGAAAGAAGTTGAGATTAGACACAAATACTACACACACAAAAATCACACCCGGTGTCTGTTGCCGATGTAGCATCCCAAAATGAGGTGTGATTCACATACAGTTTGACACTTTTTTTGTGACATCATGCTGTCACGCACACGTTCTCCTTCTCAAGTGTACTTACAGTAAGGGCTGGTCTGGAATTCAAAACGTCGGCTAAATGCGCCGTAGCCTGCTGAGGTCCTGGCTCGCACCTGTAATGCATTCAATCCGATCACATTAACTTGGTGATCAGGTAGCTACAGGTAGCAGATCATTATTTTCTAATAATGTATATTTAAATGTGCTCTGAATGACTTTGATCCAGCAACTACTTTGTAATGTCTCACTCATCTCAGACTGTTATTTAGAGCTTTTTGGCATCTTTTCACACTTGAATGTCTACACATAAATATTTATCAGCACTGTGTTTGACCTGGAAGATGTAGGCTGATGAGGGCTTCAGGCCGTCGACCACCATTTCAGTCTCTTTGGACTTTATAATGGTGTAGCTGGAGTCTTGCTCCTGTAGTAAGAGAAAACAAGCAGGGGTTAGTACTATTCTTTTACATGCATACAAACATTTGTGTAGCCTCAATGGTTATGTTCGCTGTGTTATTCATTCAGCCAGTATTTAAATAGATATGTTTTTCCTGCAATTTTTCTTTTCTATTTTTGTACATTTTTGTAGATGAACTACCTGTAGTTGGCTTGATTGTGTGAAAGTGCATGTGCAGTATCAGTTTCCCAACTGTAACCACATCAGGTTTAAACAAAGCTAAATACCCGGTCCATTAGGCAGAGCCATTAGCAAACCGCTGACCACAAATACTGCTCAGCTCTCCTGTTTGCCTTTATTCTGACCTTTCCCAGAAAAGAAGGCATCAGAGGATGAAAGAGAGAATACAGGGAAGTGAACAAAGATCGTAATAGAGGCGTCAAATTGCTGTCTCTACCAAAGTCCAATTAAAAAATACTACAAAAACAAGACCTTTTTTTTTTTTACACACTTTCCAGTGTAAGGGTGAGTTAAGGATTTTTCAATATGCCGATCAAGCTGATCAAGTAAAAACTTAAAGACTAACTGATTTCTACAAATAAAATGATGTTAAGCATGATGGTGTTATCTTTCAAAAAAGTATGGTATGGACATATATGAAATGTAAATGATAAAAAAAACATCCTTATATTGGATGTTGGTGTTGAGTGGTTTGCGTTCCCCATGTACAGAGCCTGAGGCAGGCGGCCCGGGTTCAAATCTGATCTGTGGCTCTTTTCCAGCAAGTCTTTCCCAGCTCTCGCTCTCTCCTCAATTTCCCACTCTATCTACTGTTCTGTCTCTCCAATAAAAACAACCCCCCCAAAAAAAAGTCAATAAACTAGCTTCAAAGAAACCAACAAAAAGCTTCATAAATCTCATCGGTTAAGCTCCAATAGCGGTTTTAGAGTGCACTTATTAAAATGAAAATAAATGATAGACAGAGTGTATTTGGACCCAAAAAATAATTTATATATTTATTACCTTCTCAAAATATTTGATCTCATACTCCAAGATGATGCCGTTGGGCCGATCGGGCTCTGCCCAAGAAAGGGCGATGCTGCTCTTCTCTGTATGACCTTTTCTCACCACACTTACTGGGGAGGGCGCTGCACACACAAAGGTATAAAAAACAACAACATTTTAAACACTAAAGCTCATTATCTGGTTTTACTTGTAAAAAAAAAAACAGTAGTATGATGTAGTGTTTTAAAGTGCATCTCTTTAATTTGAAAGCCTAACCCGACTTATGTTCCATAAGAAAACACCGTGATAAAACACAAAATGACATTTTAGCTGTGAAATCCATCCTTTCTTGTAGTACAGTTTTCATGTTGAACTTCAGCAATACTGTCTTAGAATGAAACTCTAAGGTCTAACTATGTTTGGTTTTTTCGTGTCTTTGCAAAGTTTTCAATTCTATTATTTTATTTTAGGGTGAGATTTATTCTGCAAGATTTATTCTTCTGGCACCCAAGCTAGGATGATTTTAGATCAATCATCAAACCAGACTGTTGTAACCTGAACTGTTGGCCCCTCTCTCAGAGGGACAGTTGAAGAGTCTCTGACACATAAAGAGCTTTTCACCAGGCAAAATGCTCCCTAAGGCAACAACATCCTGAGTGTGTGTCTGTGTGTGTGTTCGAAATCCTCTACTGAAAATGTTAAACACTGTTAAGGTTTCAATGGCCTCAGCAGAACTCTGCAGGGAATAAATCATTGCTACAAACACAGTAACTCTATCCATGAGTGGATGGTTGCAGAGAAGTGTTATCTGCCACATCTTAAAAGCCTGAAACCAGAAACCGTATCTCACACACACACACACACACACACACACACACACACACACACACACACACACACACACACACACACACACACACACACACACACACACACACACACACACACACACACACACACACACACACACACACACACACACACACACACACACACACACACACACACACACACACACACACACACACACACACACACACACACACACACACACACACACACACACACACACACACACACACACACACACACACACACACACTAAATGGTATAAATGCTAGGATGTGTAGATAAGAGAGAGTGGTTCTTTTCTCAGCAGCTTAACGGGTAACAATACACCAAACTTGAAGTTCAAATCCACTCAACATGAATGCAGTTTGCCTTGCTATATTTAATTGAAAGTTTAAAAAGATGATGCCCTGAGGGTGTACAGCTAAAGCCTGGTACCCCAAGTTACATAAGCATAGTAAATGTGACTAAACCTTATATCATCCTAAGTTTACACCGTAAACTTAGGATGATATAAGCATACATTTGAACTTTTAGGGGTTGAATAAAACAGTTTTTAAATAAACTTATTTGCAAAAATAACATCGCAGTTTTAATCCAGAAAAAGAAGTGTGGAATGATTTAAGCTTAATTAAAAGCTGTAAAATGTGCAAGACTGAAGCTTCCTTTAAAGTAATTTACTTTCCTGTGGTATTTTTTCAGAGTTGTTTGAATAGTATAGTGGTACTTTTTTAGTACATATTTACAAATATTTGATATATAAAAATGTTTAAATCAGCAAATTTGCACTCTTACCATTTTAGATATTTGGTCATCTATGCCTGTTCCTTAACTTTCCCAGTTTTTGTTTAATACAACTCTGATGCAACATGTCTATGTACAAAAGCAACACAAAAAGTAACACAAAGTCAGCAGATGCACATTTCTGGACAATGTCACACCTTTAAGTGTCATAGCTCCTTGGCTGAGACTAAACGAACAAGTCTTTTAAAATGTGTTTTAACTGAGAAACATAGAAACAGCAGGAGATTGGGGGTTGATGGAAGAAGTGGGAGCTGACGGAGGAGTGGGAAACTGTGTGCTTAAGGAGCAGGAGGGGATGACACAAATTGAAAAAAAGTGAGAGATGAATTATGAGACAGAGAGACATAGAGGGTGAGACATAATGAAAGGGTGTTGACAAAACTCAAGCAACACTTTCAATTTAGCAACCGAGGAGATAGTGGAATCACACTTCAATGTTTAAACACTTCCAGCGTGAGCTACATCTGCTAACAAGCAACACTAGTGTTAACTCAGAGACAAATGAACATGCACTTCACCAAAATAAATCTCTGGAAAATGCCATTCCATGCAGACAAAGGTCAGAAAATGTAAAAGTTGTTTGTAAAATAAATTATATCAATTTCCACAGCCGTGGCTCAGTGGTAGAGTTTGACATATCTCAACTGAAGCTCCTGCAGCCACATGCTGATGTCTCCTTGGGCAATTAACCCCAAGTTGCTCCTGCTGATGTGTCAGCTGCATGTGAATGTATATGAATGGGATAAGTTAATATTGATGGACACTTTTCCATTGTAGCCACTGCCATCAGTGTGTGAATGGTTAAGTGTGACCTGCAGTGTAAAAGCACTTTGAGTAGTCAGTACAAGCTCAAGTCAATTTCCTATCCTTCTTTTTATATAATGCCTTGCGTCTCTCAACTGTTGAAATGCACCATCACAGACGGATGTAAGAAGTCTTTGTAAGTGAAAAAAAGGTTGCCTCTCATTCTCTGTTTTTTCTTTAGCAAATTAGCAAAGTTAGCAATGCATGCTGTTAGTTCACAGTGCTCAAACACTATTAACATTAGAAGCAGATAATGCCGACTTTCAACAGAAACCAGAAAAAGCTTATTAGTGACTAAATAAATGAATAGTTGTGATTATAGAGAGACAATTTAGCTTCTTATTTTCATGATTTTGTTACATGTAAGAGACACTTATTATATGATTACTGCCACTCAAACTTTTAGAGTATTATTTACAAGGAATGATCAAACATCTAAAACATACACGCTTTGAAAGACATTGGGTTATAAGGATAGTTCTATATTGAGTTTAGTGATTTTTTTAAAACAATTAATTTCTTCAACTTATTAAAGGTTGCTTGCAAAGCCACCTTATCACATTTTTGTATTAGCATGAAAGGAAACATCAAAGCAGTGCAAATATATGACTTGCCTTCCAAATTGTTAAGCTGCACAAGACTTCTGAGTGTTTTCTGAATTTGTTCATTTGACCCCCTTCCTTCTTTTTCTTCCTTATCCTTTTCCACATGCCAACTCTTGCAACCATACTTTTTATTTCCTTATCACAACTACCTCATCATTTCTCTTACAGTTTGTCCCTCCAACTCTAACTGTGTCATGTTGTTCTTTCGTTTTCGTTCCACCTTTCCTCCTGCCATTAACCTCTCCTCATCACGAGAACCAACACTTTATTATTCAGCAGGGCTTCACAGGGACACTGTGAAATCACCTATTTCACGGATCCCTTATCAAGTGGGACACCTCCCACATCAAACGGCAGATTCTCCAACTCGTTTTCTCAATCTCTGTCTGTCTGAGTCCCTGGTCTCCCCTGTCTCTCAGAAATCAGTCTCAGCTTGTTGTAAAAACCTTTTTACCCACACAAGCAAAAGAACATTGAAAGCACACAAAAACAGATGTAAAGTGCTGATCATTGTCTTATTGGGTAATTACATTTGAGATAGAGAAGGAGGCAGGATCAGAGTAATTATTGCCTCAGGATTATTGTAATGATTAGTCTGATGACTTTGGGAAATGACTTGACACAAAGATATCAAGAAATTAAAGTCCAAACATTGCAGCAGTGAAACATACTGAGGGTGTGTGCAGCATTACATCACTGCTTAAGTGTGCTGAAGTGCATCAGAACTTAAGCAGCATTTGCAAGTAAGGCTGGATGTAGTAAGAGGTTCTTTAGAAAAACTTTCAGCCAGAAGACAGTTTAGTAATGTACTTCTAAAGAATGTTAAGACACTATTTATTAAGTCCTGACATTTTACTCAAATGAACAGCTGTGGACAGTTTTGGAGGAATAATGCCTTAAAATCAGATGAGAAGAAAATATTCCTAAAACAAATCAATGGAAATTAAAAAATCCCAGATTAAAGCAATTGCATGTCGCAAAAGTCATCACCTTTCCTATTTCTTTGGGCTTAAAGAGGTAAATCCTTCTGGTACGCACAGAAAATCAAATGAATATAGTGATTCTGATTCTAATGATTTACTGTATAATGAAGTTTGAATTTGTAGTTTTTCCCCCTCTCTATGTTAGACCTCAAATCATACTGCTTGACCCTTTGAGAGGTCCAGAGCCCAGGTTGGGAAGCATTAACTTAAAAAAATATGATTCACCATTTATTGGGATTTATGGGTAATATGATTTAATTTATTTGATCTTAATACAAATCAGCCATTGTATGAAAACCTTCTGTAACAACTGTTAATGGAACTGCTGAGTACCACATGTTAGAGATTTTCTACAACTCATGACAAATAGTTAATCAAACATGCTGCTGTGAACTCAGGAACTATTGTCTGTGTTTTCAATATATGATTAGGCAGCTTTTCAACTTGTATGCTCAAGTGTTTGGAATAGCCTGACTGAAGATTTCAAACGTGCCTTCAGTTTAACTTTGTTTGATATAATACAGTATATGTTTTAATATTCAAGTTTATTCATATGCGTGTCACTTTAAACTGCACTAACCTGTATGAAAGTTGCAGCGTGAATAAACTGCATGGGTACTGAATTGATCTGATTGTTGTACTTAAAACACCACCCATGCCAGAGAGAGGCACAATTTATCTGTCTGTGACTCCGTCGACCATGTGTAATCTAACATAATCCCTAATCTCCACTTGGTCTAGTGACTGGCTAACTTTAATCCAGCTACAACTCCAACACGCCAAATGTGGGTTCTGTGGTATGCTGTAATCCACTCAGACTGCTGACAGCCACAGTGACAACACAGTCAGAGGGCTGTCAGTTTTCTCAGTTGTCAGACAAACGTCTGCCTCACTCCCTGTCATCCTCTCTCTCCCCAAGACAAACTGTACCCAACCTACTACAAGTCAAGCTGTTGTGGCTTTAGGGTAGAGCAGATTGCACATTATTAGGAATTTCAGCAGTTTGATCTTCCTCCTGCAGACATTATGAATTTTCCTTGGGCAAGACACTCACAGAGTGGCATAGGCCAGTGCTGTTTGAATATGAGTGAATGTTGTACATTGAAAAAAAAAAGATAGGCAGGATTGTTGGCTGTATGGCAGTGTCTCTAAGTGCATGAGTGTAGACCAAGAAGGCTAAAACATCCTCCCTTAAAAAATATATTTTTATTCTCTGGCTTTCCCTCCAGATGGAAGCCTTGTTAAGAAAAGCGTTAACCTCATAGATTTTGCTCAAGGCATTTAACAGTGTACCACTAATTTCATTACAAGCAAATAAAATACTACAACGGCATGCTCTTCCCGTAAACATTAGACTGGGTTCCTAAATTACTTGTCATATCCCTTTAAAGGAAAGACAACAAAACGTTCAATACTTACAGCCATGGGAAGCAGTTGGATTCTTTTTATGGTCCTATATTGTTGAGGTCTTTTTAAGTCTGGCCACTGTGCTGCTCAATTTATCGTTTTTGGTTCGGTACTCAAAATAGTTTTTCTAAGCTTCCCTTGTGTTACACAAAAGCTACTGGTTATAGCAGCTGCAGTTTTCCTTTTTGGGAATTGCTCAATAGTGATACTTCCTGGCCTGGAATTACTATGCATCGTCAGCCTGATCCATAACTTTATGATAGGCATGAATAGAATCAAATAGAATAAACACTTGCTACACCACAGAAACAGCCCACATATAAAGCACTTTCAGTTACATATTCTTGTTTTTCTTGATTTTGTAATGAGGGGACCAAGCTGCTTTTTCAGAAACAAATCTTGGAAAGAAAGGCAAAAGCAAAAAAGCTTTCCACTGTGCAATGTTCTCTCATACACTGCGGGGAAGGCGGGTGAGAGAAAATGAACACAGTGACAGATTTGTTGGACAAATACTGTGATAATTTGATCATCTGGTGCCGATGCTTTCAAACCCCGATTATTGTTTAATGAATTCAATTTACACTTGGATTTGTTGCTGTCTCAATAGGAAAACAGCTATATCTAAATGCTGTCTCAATAGGAAAACAGCTATATCTAAATGGGGATTATTTATTCTGGGTAAAACTCAAAAGAAGCTTGAATACTTGATATAGAAAAACAGGATGATGTGGTGCTAATTTGAGAACTTATGAGGAGGCTGTGATGGGCAAAAGGCAAGTATTGATAGTTGTTATACATCTCGTGCTACATACCTGCCTGATTGGTTGTCACATTAAGTGACACATACTGCTTTGCGTGATCTTTGGCCAGCTCGGACACACCATTGACAGCCTCAAGCAGAAAGCTGTAGTTGGTGTGTGACTGCAGGTCGGCAACCATCACAGACGTGTTTGACAGGCCGACACGGCGTGGCAGAAAGCGTACGTTTGGACCACATTCTTCAAAGCCCCTTCCATCTGGTAAGACCCGTCGGCACAGGATGTTGTAGCTAACATCCTTTCTGCCACCTGTTTCCATCGGAACAGACCACTCCAGGAAGACACTGGTCTCGTTGACATTGGAGATGGCGTTGCGTGGAGCAGAGGGGGGACCTGAGGGAGATGTAAAGGTTTAGCAGCAGACAAAAAAAACAAATATATCTAATGTTACTACACAACGGCAATTTAAGGAGCAGAAAGTTACATTTTCATTTTAAAATCGGATCTCATTGTACACACAAAATAAAAAAAAGGCTGGTAAGATTGGTTAAATCCAAAAATAAGAGTGAATACATATAAATGTGTATTATCCTCACGTGTGCAGGCCATATTGGGAGGGTCCGAGTCAATTTTGTAGTATCCATCCTCACAACTGCAGGCAGTGGCTCCGGTCTGCCTGGCCACACTGTGGGGAGGACATTTACTACAGCCCACGGAGTCCAGCAGCGAACGGTAAAACCCTATTTTGCAGACTGAAAGATGAGCAGGAGGGGGGGGGAAGATGCCGTGGGGTGTTTGGGGTTGAATAAAGACAAGATGAAATGATAAAAGTAGACATTCCAACAGAGAAGGAAAGGGGTTTATTGGAGTAGAAGGTTTGTGAAAGAGTGGGGGAGAGAAAAAGCAGGACAGTTCTTAGTTCCTATGACAAAAAAGGAGGTCAGTATCAAAACAGTAATGTCATTTCCCGGGTGGTTGAGGTTGTTTAAGCATTATCAGAGACATTAAAAGATACACTTGTTAATTCATTTTTTTGATTTTGATTTGAACCTTCTCAAGTCTGATTTGTTCTTATATTCCTCTTGGGACTTGCATATTTGTTGTTTTATTTTCTTATGTCTCAATCAAAATGCTTGATTTTATTATCATATTGTTCCTTCACACAGGGAGAATTCCAGACAATGATTTTCAACCCACACCCGAACAAGAATTTGCTCTTGCATCTGAACAAATGTGCACCCAAACAACCCGATATGTGAGGCACACTAAACAAAACAACCAACACCGGAACAGACATAATCTCTTTTCCACACACAAACAAAAACAGAGTCAGACGGGTGATCTATCTGGGGCAGGTAGACACCAGGGCGACACACACACAGAATGTTAACACCCAAGAATACATTAACATCCTCTGTTGCCATCGCTGCGTCCCAAAGCTAACCAATCAATGAATTATCATAGCATCATTTTCTACTTTGTTTTAGCTGTTGAAACCCGTGATACAAACACAAATAGAGATATGCCATGGAGTATAAAATACTAAAGGATATACAAATATCTGTTTTGTTTGCTGTTGGGGAGAGTTGGAGATACCAGAGAGAGGAAACAGGATATTTTTCATCTTCTTTGTTCTCTCAAAGCTTCAAGGTGCAAATCTATTGCTTTCCACATTTTTGGTCTGTGTGGTTGTGAGAAGCTATGCAGCCTGTACCTGTGATTTAGAATTATATAATTAGACTAAAAGGTCATAGGAGAGAAGAATAAAAATATATGAGAGGAATATACAGCTAAATAAAAAAAATGTAAATACTATGGGAGAATAACATGATGCCGGATAAAGGAGGGAGAAGCCAAGTTCAAATGGGAAAAGAGGCAAGAGGAAAGACAAAGGAAGAATGGGGGAGAAGATTTGTGAGCGTGTCTGTGTGTGTGTGCCCATGTGTGTTTCAGTCATTAGGCAGCAGTGGCTCTGATTCCCCTTGACAGAACCTTGGTCCATTGTCATGGAACATTAGGCCTGAAAAATTTTCCTTCTGCCCTGGATCGCTCTGTGTCTCACCTCTGGATCACGCATGCACACTAAACAAGTACACAGAACACAGGATTCAATGCTTAGCCCGATTATGTGTTGAGGCTCAAGACAATGCTTTTGAGGCATCCATGAAGCTGGCCTAGTTTTAAATTATGAGATGGTATTACATTTGATAATCCATGCGTCACTGAGAAAAAAAAAATGATAATGAATGCCTTAGTGCATCTTTTATTCAGATGAGGGAAGATGTTTTTTTTTTTTTGCTGCAACATCAATTTTGTCTTTGGTTCTGTTAAAATGGTAAAATTCCCAAAAAGGAGACGTACATTTTCATACTGATGCCTACAAAAAAGTATGCACAATTACAAAAAGGTATATTTTGAATCGCATCTCTATATTGTTCACTTTTTGTGTTGGTGAGTGAGACAGAAGGGAAGAATGCAACATTGTGGGCAGAAGGACACACCTGATCCTTTGTCTGCTTCAGCACAGTTTCTGCAAACACATTTATGGTTCCATACAGATTTAATGCCATAGTCCACCACCCCACCTCAAACACACAAACACGCCATGGCCGAAACAATAAAAATGGCGTGACAGCTTATTCCACATGTACAGACCACAGACTGTAAATATTAATGAACGAAGCCTGAGTGACGTCACCCATCTGTTACTGCAGCAGGCTCATGGTATCAGCCACCATGATGGAAATCATTGTCTCAGTGTAACTCTCATTCTACCTCACAACAGGCTAAGAGCTGGAGCTGACGTGGGATTTAAGCCTCCTGACAAACATGCATGCAAACAATGCATATCTTGTATATTTCATGAAATCGGTTGCGTTTTTAAAAATTCAACACAAGTAATCTGACCAATACTGTTTTTGTACCAGGCCGCGAACGTGTTAATGTCTGCTGTAAAGTGAGTGTATGAATGTGGTGGGTGTATGTGACTTCTGGGCTCTTGGAGCCAGCCTCAAGCGGACCCTCTGAGAACTGCAATTTTTGTGTCTGTCAGAATAAGAGTAGAAAACATGCAAGCTAATTAAATGTATTTTAAATGGGAACAAAGTTACTGTAAATGTGACTTGAGTTTATGTGGCCTTTGTATTTAAATACAAAGTGACTAAATGAAGGTTTTAATCCAAAAGATATACTTAAATAAATGCTCAGTGACAAAGAAGGCCAATGCACATACAACGATTTTAGGAACGCAGACATATTTATTTGTGCTACACCAGTAATGTATCTGGCACAATAATGAATAGCTTCTTTCTTGAGTAGATTCATGATTTGCAATATGCACATACTTTACTTGTGTCAAGTAGAGTTATTGTCCAACCATCCATCAGTATTGCCATGTGGTTAATAGCTTAATTCTAAATATCTTATTTTAAACATGTCTTGTTACATTTAATTGAATTATCTCTTACTTTGGATCTTCTTAGATGTCCTTCAATGAAACAGCCTCAGATGCAAGGGCGGTAAAGATGTTAAATCTTAGCGTTAATTGTGTTAAAGGATACACAAAACTGGTGCGTGCATTTTTGAATCCACAACCCACACAGACATTAACACACTTATCATTATGGTCGCAATATGCTTTGGTATAAGTGTGTGAGTGTGTGTGTAGGGGTGTGTGTCTGTGGGTTGCCCTTAGGCAAGCTGTCTTTCTGATGCTATGCAGTTCTGAATTCACAACACAAAAGGGTAATAGGTAGTTAATATGCAGTTCACATTAATGTGCCTGTATGCATTTGTGTGCGAGAGGTTAATACGTAATTAATATGCATCACTCAGTGGAATCCCAGGCAATTAAGGATCCAGTGGTGTCCGCTGATGCCTCTTAACAAGCATCCTTATCTAATTGGAAACATGTTGATTTATATGACTGGCTGTCATGTGGTGAGATTAAAGACAGTAAGGCAGACAGAGAAATACAAACCAGTTACTACGATATACTGTGTATAAAAATCAAAGTCTACAGGAAAAGACTGGCAAACACAAAGAAAGATATGAAACTAATAAAAGGTCACACTCACAACACAAAGTATTTATTGTGTGTGACACTGGTATATTGTACTTCAGGGTTTTTGTCAGTTTATTCAACATATTGATTCAACAAGACACTGTTTTAATGTCATTCTGCTGGTTTTTGAGGTTGTAAGTTTTATAAATGAATCTGATGATTCATTATTATTATCATCAACACACAGCCAAGTCTTTTATGTATCGTTTTAAATAGGGACACATTCATATGTTATCTCATGTCTACTACCCATGAGCACCACTGGATATATCACACATTCATTCATCTCTTCTCTTCAACCTATACCACTCCCCTTACTACTTCCTCCGTCTACCTGCTCTGGTGATCAGCCGATTATGGGCGTTTTTTCTCTCAGTAATTAACCAACCAGATTCAGGCACAACCTCTCTCAACCGATCATCCTGCTGCTAAACTCGTTCTCTCTCTTCCACGGTCATTCTCTCTTTTCAATGCAACCGCTGCAACCCTCCTCCGCCCCAGTCACCTCCATTCCAGCTCAGCCGAGTTCAGATTCAGGCTCAGAATCCCACTCCTCATCATAGCCTCCATTCCTCTTCACCACCACCAGTGTCTAGACTCCACATGGGGATATCCTATCCTGCTGTCGGCCTCATTACCCCTCCGAGTACATGAAGTCATCACGATGGAGTCTAATCCCCAAAGACTTTGCACATTTAATTCTAAATTGTTGCATGTTTAATTGTTAAATAAATAATTGTCCATTCTCAATTAATTCTCTCCTGATTGTAATACCTTTATTACACTTCACCAAGTTACACGGTACACCCCTTCATTTTCATTACCTTTAGTATTTCCTCAAACTGATCACATCTGATCCTTGAACGGATCTAGAAATAAAGCAAATGAGTTTGAGAATTTAAAGTCAAAATAACTTGTTTATTGTGAGGGTGCAATTCTAACATGCTGGGTTATTTCCACTCAATCAACTTTTAGGACTGACTGAATGTAGGGCGCTTTGACTGAGGGGGAAGTGATAACTTACCACCTGGCCTAAACTAAGAACTACTGAGTGAGTTTACCTAAAGCTGTCCCTTAAAAAATGACTCGCTTTTTATTTGAGTATAGTAAAATAACGTAGACGTATTAAATAACCTCATAATTAACTAAATTACAGTACTAAGTACATGTTTTTGAATTACTATAATGATGTACTCCACTGAATATCAAACAAAAATTTGAAATGAGAAAAAACGGCCCAAATGTCAAATGGCTCTATATGTGACATTACACTTATATTCAGTCTTTCCTGCCTCTTTTTCAGCTGTACACCGACACAGCAGGGCTGACATAAGCGTAAACTTTGGCTGAAGAAACATAGAAATGGTAAAGCTTAATTTCAATACAATGGATATTTTGTTACCAGATACTATTGTGAACTAATAAACCAAGTCAGGAAACACAGTAAATATCCTGTTCCTGTATTTGTCCCACAGTGAGCTACTGGACAAAGTAATATAAACAGAGTATCTGTGTGTGTGTGTGTGTGTGTGTGCCTATTTGTATTTGGGTGCATGAATGAGGATGTCCTACCTTCACCTATTATTGTTGCATTACTGTGTCTGTATGCGTTTTCCAATGGGCATGTGTTTGTTCAAATGCAAGCTCACATTTGTGTATGCCTCTGTGTGAACACAAACAAAGCCAAGT